AAAAAAAAAAAAACACAACTTCAATTTTTTTTTTGGTTTTAATTTTCGAGGAAATTTATATTACATATTATTTTTATTAAAAATTATTTAATATTTTTAAAAGTTACAAACAACATATTTATTTAAATGCAACTTATTCTTCTTATTTAGTAATAATATCGTCCACAACATATCTGTTAATTTTTATTTTTAATTTTTAATCGAGAATAAAAAAACTTACAATACAATTTAAAAATTAAAATATAGTTGTTTATATTCTCTATAGTTTGTGATTTAAATATATATTAAAATTTTAAATATAAAAAATAAAATTAAAGAAGTTATCATCATTATTCAAAATTGTCGGTTGTATTTATTATTGAAAGATTATTTAGAGAAACGACATACACTATAAAATTAATGATAAAAATATATATAATTATATATTATGCATATAAAATAAATAAAAACTGTATATTCATTAAACCGGTTCGACTGATTCGACCACTGGTCTGACCAGTGAATCAGTGAACCGGTAGCTTCACCGGTTCGATGACCGGTTCGGTTTTCAAAACCTTGAAAATTAGTCACAAATTTCAAGAAAAAAAAAAGCTAAAGAACCATGTTTTGAAACTAAACTTATAGCATCATCAAATTATATGATAACACTTTTAGAGGGGTCATCAAAAAAGTGTGAAGACCATAAGGGGAAAAGAATAGAACAAAGTACACAAAACAGAAAAAGACGTTTTTATATAATGGAGTATATATATATAATACAGAACAGTCGCTGTTGATTGGGCTCACCTCAGACTATCCTCCAACACAGCCACATCCAACAAAAGAAGATAAAGACACCATTTATTTTCAAATCTTATTTTATTTTTATATATTTACAAATCTATGTTTTTAAGTATACAAATTTACTAACTTTCATAGTTTATGTATAATTGATTTTTAGTTTATTTTTTATTATTATTTTTTATTTAGGTCAAATTAAATTTTTTTTTTTAGTACAGGGACCTTCCGGTTTCCGGATCCACAGGGGAACCGACTAATCCGGAATCGAGCCGGGTAAGACCACAAGCTCCAAATAAATAAAACTAGAAGACAAAGAGTAAAAGAGTAATACAGAAAA